ATATGTTGGTATCTTTGCGGGAAAGGTACCAAAAAAGATTGGACTGATATGCCCATCTCCGAATTAAATTTAAGTTTGGAGATAATATTATGATTTTCCAATTTTTAATAAAACCCAGATAGACAGATTGAAATATGGAAGGACATTCCGACATATCTGAAACGGATTTTGTAAAAATGCGACCTGAAAGTAGAGATGGGCAGTGGGTAAATACCCAAAGGGTAAATACCCGGTAAATTGGGTAAATACCCGGTAAATTGGGTAAATACCCATTTGTGGGTATTTATTTGGGTATTTACTATATTGAATCGGTAATAAAACATCTTGCACCCTATTTCCGGGTTTCTGTTATCAAATCGATTTAGAATGAATAGTTTTACGATACTTTAAAGACGTGGGTAAAAACTTGGGTAAATACCCGAGTTTTTACCCGAAAAATGGGTAAAAACTCATTAACTGCCGAACCACTTGACATAGGCGGCCAAAATTTTGCACACATGTTTCTAATGACAAAGCAAATATAGAAATCCAACATGGGGTCCCTGGGTCCAAGTTTTGATATAGCCCCCATATAACCGTATCTCCCGATTTAAGGTATTTTTAGCCTATTAGACACATTTTGAGGCCAAATTGGCTGTCATTTGACACAGAGTGTTATTTTTGGGTACCAAATGTCCATGCAAAATGTTATGTATGTAGGTCCACGTTTGCTGGTAGCCCCCATACAAAGGTACCCCTATTTTGAGTATTTACCCAAAAATTGGGTATAACCTCACTAACTGCCGAACCACTTGACATAAGCGGCCAAAATTTTGCACACATGTTTCTAATGACAAAGCAAATATAGAAATCCAACATGGGGTCCCTGGGTCCAAGTTTTGATATAGCCCCCATATAACCGTATCTCCCGATTTAAGGTATTTTTAGCCTATTAGACACATTTTGAGGCCAAATTGGCTGTAATTTTGCACAGAATGTTCTTTTTGGGTACCAAATGTCCATGCAAAATGTTATGTATGTAGGTCCACGTTTACTGGTAGCCCCCATACAAAGGTACCCCTATTTTGAGTATTTACCCAAAAATTGGGTATTTGGGTACCCAAATAGAACACTCTGTGCCAAATGACAGCCAATTTGGCCTCAAAATGTGTCTAATAGGCTAAAAATACCTTAAATCGGGAGATACGGTTATATGGGGGCTATATCAAAACTTGGACCCAGGGACCCCATGTTGGATTTCTATATTTGCTTTGTCATTAGAAACATGTGTGCAAAATTTTGGCCGCTTATGTCAAGTGGTTCGGCAGTTAGTGAGTTTATACCCAATTTTTGGGTAAATACTCAAAATAGGGGTACCTTTGTATGGGGGCTGCCAGTAGACGTGGACCTACATACATAAAATTTTGCATGGACATTTGGTACCCAAAAATAACACTCTGTGCCAAATGACAGCCAATTTGGCCTCAAAATGTGTCTAATAGGCTAAAAATACCTTAAATCGGGAGATACGGTTATATGGGGGCTATATCAAAACTTGGACCCAGGGACCCCATGTTGGATTTCTATATTTGCTTTGTCATTAGAAACATGTGTGCAAAATTTTGGCCGCCTATGTCAAGTGGTTCGGCAGTTAATGAGTTTTTACCCATTTTTCGGGTAAAAAATCGGGTATTTACCCAAGTATTTACCCACGTCTTTAAAGTATCGTAAAACTATCTATTCTAAATCGATTTGATAACAGAAACCCGGAAATAGGGTGTAAGATGTTGTATTACCGAGTCAATATAGTAAATACCCAAATAAATACCCGCAAATGGGTATTTACCCGGTATTTACCCACCCCTTGGGTATTTACCCGGTAAATACCATCTCTACCTGAAAGAAATATTTCGCTGAGACACTTTTTTGCTGTAGCGAAGTGTATAGATCCTCATTAGCCATAAAGCTGAAGATATACAAATTATCAACTTTGATATTTGTTGTAGCTCCCAAATTTAATATTTTGAGTTCTATTCTCATATAACTCTTAAAAAATATAAATAAGGGTCCATATTTGGCCCAAATCCATTATTAGTATTTTTATTGAAATTACTGTCATTTTACATTCCGGGAGCTTCGTCTGTGTATAACTTCATCGATGAATATTTTCAATAGAAGTACATATACAGGGTATTATTTGTGCATATGGAAACAAGATAGACACATGGCAAAAGGAAACAAGATAGACACATGGTTCCATTTGAGAATATCCATAGAATCGCTTTCTGAGTCGATTTATGCATGTCCGTCCGTCCGTCTGTAGATGTTAAATTGTAAACAAAGTACAGGTCGCATTTATGATCCGATTTTGTAATTTGGCACAAGTCTCTTATTTGGCCCAAGGACGAACCCTATTAAAATTGGGAAAAATCGGTTCAGACTTAGATATAGCTCCCATATATAGTTTCGTCCGACTTAAGGGAAATTGTGCACCAAAGTCCCTATATATATTTCGATTTGCACGAAATTTGGCATAACGTAATGAATTGAGTGTAGAATGACGTGTTCTAAGTTTTGAGAAAATCGGTCTAGATTTAGATATAGCTCCCATATATAGTTTCGTCCGATTTAGGGTAAATGGGGGACCAAAGAATATATATATATATTTGCACGAAATTTGGCATAAAGTACTGAATTAGGTCCAGAATGATGTGTGCCAAGTTTCGTGAAAATCGGTCCAGATTTAGGTATAGCTCCCATATATAGTTTCGTCCGATTTCAGGTAAATGGTGCACCAAAGTCCCTATATATCGTTCGATGTGCACGAAATTTGGCATAGCGTACTGAATTGATGCTGGAATGATGTGTTTTGAGTTTCGCGAAAATCGGTTCAGATCTAGATATATATATTTTCGTCCGATTTCGTGTAAATCTGTTGAGATTTAGCTCCCTTATATTGTAGGTTGATTTTAAGTAATTGACGTGCCAAGGAGCCAATATATGGCTGATTGGAACAAAACGTACTGACATTAGTATAACCTAACCTGTGACAAGTTTCGTTGAAATCGGTTTATATTCGGATATAGCTTCTATACACATTTTCGTCCGATTTTAAGTAAATTGTGCACCAAACTCCACATGTTTGTCAGATTGACATCAAAATTTGCACAAGGTACAAAATTGAGCATAGAATAACATAGTTGCGTTTTCTAGAACTACATACATAGCCCAACGGATGTCCTAGTGATATTTAAACGAATGACATGTTTATGGATAGCTCTAGGTCGATTCACATTTAAATAAATATGACATATTTATTTCATCCAATTTTATGATAATTGTCCTGTTTAATATACCCATAGTGGTGGAGAGTATAATATAGTCGGCCCCGTCCGATTTTACTAATTTCCTTACTGGTTATATTTATTTTTCTTATTTTAATTAAAATTTACTTCATTTTAAATTCTTGAAATTTCCACTGCATTCCCCATTAAAGTTCAAACTAAAAACAGCTTTAATGAATTCCTCGAGATTTCAAAAAAATATTCTAATCTTAAATTTCAAATGTCACGTGGAGATAAATGCAAAATAGCGAAGTTGCAAATATTTTATCTCGCCCCAGCCAAAACAAAAATATGTGCAAAATTAAAATAAAACAAAGAACACAATGGAAGAGTTTAACACGACGAACAGCTTCAAAACAGAATTCTAAATTGCGAACAAAAAAAAAATGAAAATGGAAAGCAAAAAAAAAAAGCGAAATTGAATTTTATGGAAATTCTATGCATAACAATTGTTGAGAAACAACATCAAACCAGTGAGCGGAGCAGTATAGTCGGACGGGGCCGACCATATGATACCCTACACAACTACCACGAAACTCTTACTTTCTGCGAATGTTTATTCCGAGCCTGGGCAATATTTCCTGATATTTGCACCCGCTTGCCCGATTAGAGACAACAACAGCACCTCTTCCTTACACTGACATATACTCCGAGTATTACTAATATTCAGTACAGCCCCTCTAATTACTTGTCCAGATTCCATTAATCGTGTTGTGATGTTCAGCTTATAATTGTGGCCTATAGATCGACTTGAACACAAACAAAAAAAAATAAGTTTTCAGTGTACTTCATCCCAAAATTATTATCTGATCATCACAGAAAATTATAGGCGTTGTCTTTAACCAAAACTGGAATCTCATGGAAGATTTCAAAGCGATCAGCGCTATTTCCACCCGCTAGTGTGGGTTACTAAAAAATATCTCAGTGCGTAAACTCCTGTAAATTTTTAATTGTTATTCCCACATTCGAGTACACACGGCAATATAATTGGTATCAATTTAAAGGTCAACCACTCCTCTTGGATATACTATCAACTTCTCGGGTCTATGTCCTTTAGGGGTAAATATATACGCTATAGAATACAAATTTTGTCATTTTTCACACAAAAGCCAGGGTCCATTTGACCCGCTAAATATTGACCAATCTTTATCAAAACAGGCATGCTTATTCTTTGGCCCGATCCCCTCCTCCATGCAAAATTTCACGATGTTCGGGCCATTATTGCGGCCTCTGGAGCGACCAGAAAAACCGACAAAAATTTAGTATTTGGTCCATTTCATCCCCTAAATATTAACCGATCTTTCCCAAAAACAATAGGGGTCTTCATTGGCCAGAACCCATCCTACATGCAAAATTTCGTGAAGATTGGTCCATAACTGTGGCCTGTATCGTGTTTACAAATTATAATGGACAGACGGACGGACGGACACACATGTCTAGATCGACTCAGCTAGTCGAGATATGACGATCGGTATACTTAAAGGTGGGTCTACGACCAATATTTCGCGGCGTTACAAACATTTGGGGCTGCACAAAGCTATAATACCCTGACAACATAGTTGTGTAGGGTATAAAAACAACAACCCCTCTCCAAAAAAAAAAAAAAAATGAACAACCCAACAAAACATAAAATATCTGTGTTACAAAAAAAAAAAAAGGATTTACAAGGACTCGCACCTGTTTGGGCACTTCCAGACTGTTTTGAGTTTTCATTTCGGCACCAGTTGGAGTACGTGAACGCGTAAATGTTGTCCTTAAGCGTTGCATGATGGCGGCGGCGGTGGGGCGGGGCAGCGGTTATTGTAGTGGGTGTCGGTTTACAGATGGCAAAAATGTATAAAATATATAGATATTGTTGTTGTTGCTGTTGTAGTTTTTATAAAGCTTTTACAGGACACCAAATGGTTGTTGTTGTCGTTTGATGTTGATATTCTATTACAGGAATATTTTTTATTGTTTTATTTTTTGCAAGGGATGATGGTAATGGTGATGCTGATGACTGCGAAAGGATGCTGCTTCGTCTACTACTCTCCTCGCTCCTCTTGTATACGCTATCCGTAATGTCCTTGAAATATTTATTTTCCAAGAAAATCCTTTTTACAAAAAATGTATTTTGTTTATTGCTGTTATCGATTGTTATTTTATCGTTTGTCAGAAGACTATTGTTTTTGTTGTTGTTGCTGTATTTGATTTGTTCTTCTTCTTTGTTTGCAGGAGATGCAGCCGTCGTCAACACGTTTAAAGGTTTTCTCGTTGTGGCTTCAATCAAAATTGCTGCTGCTCTCGATACGACTGCGACTACTGTTGCTTCTATTGTTATTATCCTTGTCGTTGTTGTTGTTGCTGTTATTGTTGTAGTTATTCCATTAAAAACCCTGGAGGTTACCAACTCATCAAATCCCATTTTTTGTATTTTCGAAAAACGAAACAAGTTGCTGGGGTGGGGAACAAACAGACTTTCAATAAGCGTCTACAATTTGCTGCTCCGGCTGCCTCGTTACATTAAAAGAAAAAGGCTTAGCATCCTTTGTTTTGTCGCGGCAGCTTTTTTGCCATGTTATCGGAGATGACATTTGCTTTTCTTCTGTTTATTTTAAATTTTGGAACCCTTTTTCTAAAAATCCCATGGGATGTCTCGTTCTTTGTCGGGAAAAGGGTTGATGATGTCTGGAAATAAAAACCAGAAAGTGAAAAGGGATTGTTAGTAAAAATTTGAATATTGTTAACAGATATGTATATTTTTATGTAAATTTTTAAATAATTGAAAGCCGATTAGAGTCATTCGACATTTCTCCTAAAGTACAAAAATTTATTTTTCAATAACATAATAGGCGTGGATTTTTCGAAAATATTTTTTCAAGGTCTATAATATGCTTGGATTTTTATACCCTACACAACTATGTTATCAGGGTATTATAGTTTTGTGCATCCCCAAAAGTTTGTAACGCAGCGAAATGTGGTCTTAGACCCACATTTAAGTATACCGATCGTCATATCTCGATTAGCTGAGTCGATCTAGACATGTGCGTCCGTCCGTCCGTCTGTACATTATAATTTGTAAACACGACACAGTTATGGACCAATCCACACGAAATTTTGCATGTAGGATGGGTTCTGGCCAATAAAGACCCCTTTTGTTTTTGTTAAAGATCGGTTAATATTTAGGGGATGAAATGGACCAAAAACTTTATTTTTGTCTGATTTTCTGGTCGCTCCATAGGCCGCAATTATCCAAATATCGCGAATTTTTTACAGGGAAAAGGGGAACAGGCCAAGAAATAAGCATGCCTGTTTTGATAAAGATCGGTGAATATTTAGTGGGTCAAATGAGCCCTGACTTTTGTGTGAAAAATTACAAAATTTGTTCTTTTTATATCGTATATATTTATCCCTGAAGGACATAGACCCCAAAATTTGATAGTATATTCAAGAGGTGGTTAACCTTTAAATTGATACCAATTATATTGTCATATGTACTCGGATGTGAGAGTAACACTTAAATATTTATAGGTGCTTACGTATTCATATATTATTTAGTAACCCATTCCCACACTAGAGGACGGAAATATAGCACCGATCGCTTTGAAATTTTCTAGGACAATTTCAAGGACAATTTCGGTGATGATAAGATAATAATTTTGGGATGAAGTGGACCGAAAACTTAATTTTTTGTGTTTTTTTTTTCGAGTCGATCTATAGGCCACAATTGAAAGTCGAACATCACAACACAACTCACGGTGAAGGTAATCTGGAGAAGTAATTAGAAGAGTTGTACTAAATATTAATTAGTAATATTTGTTGACATCAAGAGGGTGCAAATATCGGTCAAAGGGGGCAAATATCGCGAAATATTGCCCAAGCTCAGAATATAGAACTACAGAGAGTTATATTTTCGTGGAAGTTGTGTAGGGTATCATATGGTCGGCCCCGTCCGACTATACTTCAAACTATTTTTGCAAGACCTATAATATGCGTGAATTTTTTAAAAATATTTTTTTTTCAAAACCTATAAAAGGCGTGAATTTTTTAAAATATTTAAAGAATAGTTTTCAATTTTAAAACTATTTGTATACCCTCCACAATAGTATGGAGGGTATATTAAAATTGTCATTCCGTTTTCAACTCATCGAAATATTCTTGATCAGGGCAAAATTTTAAAACTGTTGTAATCATGCTGTCTTCTGAAGGAATTGAGGTAGGGTGCTGAAATTTTGCATAGGCTTGTCTTTTGTCTGCTGACAGGTCAAGTTCGAAGATGGAGTATATGGGTCCACGTTTAGGCATAGCTTTCATATAAGGGTACCCCCAAATTTTGGGTATTTTGGGGTTCTTGAATTGTCTGTAATTTAGTATTTTGAGTTCTTAATAGGTTCCAAATCTCTCCACAAAAAATATGAATATAGGTAAATTTTTTCGGGTACCCCCCGATATAACGGTACCACCAATTTTCGTTATTTTGGGTTTCTTGAGCACGTTTTTCAACCGAATTCGCTGCATATTGGTATTTTGAGTCGTATAATGTAACAAATCTCCCCACCAAAAATTATTCATATTCGCCCCTTTTTAGCGTAGTCCCCATATAACCCCTTTTTATATCCTTCGAAATAGACCCATGGTTTCTTTTGAGAATATGCATAGAATCACTTTCAGGGTCGATTTACGCTTGTCCGTCCGTCCGTCTGTTGGTGTTAAATTGTAAACAAAGTACAGGTCGCATTTATAACCCGATTTGGATGAAATTTGGTACAGCTCATTTGTTTGGCCAAAGGACGAACCCTATTGAAATTGGGAAAAATCGGTTCAGATTTAGATATAGCTCACATATATCTTGTCGTCCGATTTAAGGTAAATGGTGCACCAAAGTATCAACATATCTTTCGATTTGCACGAAATTTTGCATAGCGTAATGAATGAGATCTAGAATGATGTTTGTTAAGTTTCCTGAAAATCGGTTGAGATTTAGATATAGCTTCCTTATCTGACCAAATGAAAAATTTAGTATCGGTTTAGTATCGGTTTAAGTTTAGAAAGATGTGTGTTAAATTTCCTGAAAATCGGTTCAGATTTAGATATAGCACCACATACAGTTTCGTCCGATTTTACGTAAATGACGCACCAAAGTCCCTATATATTCTTCGATTTGCACGAAATTTGGCATAGCGTACTAAATTAAGTCTGTGTTAAATTTCATGAAAATCGGTTCAGATTTAGATATAGCTCCCATATATATTTTCGTCCGATTTAAGGTAAATGGTGTACCAAAGTCGCTATATATAGTTCGATTTGCACGAAATTTGGCATAGCGTATTAAATTAAGTCTAGAAATATGTGTGTTGAATTTCATGAAAATCGGTTCAGATTTAGATATAGCTCCCACATATAGTTTCGTCCGATTTTACGTAAATGGTGCACCAAAGTCCCTATATATTCTTCGATTTGCACGAAATTTGGCATATCGGTTCAGATTTAGATATAGCTCCCATATATATTTTCGTCCGATTTAAGGTAAATGGTGTACCAAAGTCGCTATATATAGTTCGATTTGCACGAAATTTGGCATAGCGTACTAAATTAAGTCTAGAAATATGTGTGTTGAATTTCATGAAAATCGGTTCAGATTTAGATATAGCTCCCACATATAGTTTCGTCCGATTTTACGTAAATGGTGCACCAAAGTCCCTATATATTATTCGATTTGCGCGAAATTTTGCATAGCGTACTGAATTAAGCGCAGAATGATGTGTGTTAAGTTTCCTGAAAATCGGTTCAGATTTAGATATAGCACCACATACAGTTTCGTCCGATTTAAGGTAAATGGTGTACCAAAGTCCCTTAACCCTTTGTGGCCCAATGTTGCCCACAGGCAACAAAATGTTTTAGAACTTATATTAAATATTTAGCTGGTAGATATATATTCTTTGGATTTCATACGTCAAGACCTAATTATAAACGACACATATCAAAAGAAAAATCTAAAAAATTCAAATTTTTGTTAATGTTATGAGCTTTTCAATATAGAGAAGAGGGCAAAATGTGTACAGTACTAATTTGTGTATACAGTCCAAATTATTTAAATCGCTTCGTATTCGAAATGTACGAATTCTGCCTTCAGAATTATTTTTGATTCTTGTAAAACGTAATATAGAGAATAATTTAAAATGATTTTTTCTTTGATTTTTCATTTGGTTTGCTTGATATTGGGCTTTTATTTTTCAGAAAGAATGTACTGTATCTCCCGAATGCAAGGATGTAGTGATGTAAAAATTTGTCCATGTCCTATCTAGGATAGTTGCATTAAATCTGTGAACAGAAAATTGTTCTATGATTACGGAAAAAATTCGGGGCTCAAAGGGTTAATATCTTTCGGTTTGCAACAAAGTTCCTATATATTCTTCGATTTGCACGAAATTTTGCATAGCGTACTGAATTAAGTGCAGAATGATGTGTGTTAAGTTTCGTGAAAATCGGTTCAGATTTAGATATAGCTCCCATATATAGTATCGTCCGATTTAAGGTAAATGGTGTACCAAAATCCCTTAATATCTTTCGGTTTGCACGAAATTTGGCACAGCGTAATGAATTAGATCTAGAATGATGTGTGTTAAGTTGCCTGTAATCGGTTCAGATTTAGATATAGCTTCTTTATCTGGCCAAATGAAAAATTTAGTATCGATGGCAGAATGACATGTTTATGGATCCAATTTCATTTTACTGGTCCTGGCGGATAGAACGTAAGGTTCGATAATATATGAACTATAGCCCGGATTTAGGCCTAGGCCTAGCCCCTGTGTGGGACG